TTACTTTGTTTTTTTTTTTTTTTTTGTTTTGTGCTAACACAATGGATACAGGATATTTGAGTTCTGCATCAGCAAGTAAGACCAGATCTCGTTGCCCTCTTCAGGAACAACTTCTTCACAGGAGAAATTCTAGTCAAAATGTATGTCTACTTATTCTCTCTAAAAAATTACTTATTGTTTCCATTTATTTGCACAATTAGATTGTAATTTGGACTTCAACTTCAAGAAATTTAGCCATAAGGAAGACGGGTATTCATTTAATAGTCATCTTCGTTCGGTTTTAATTCTAATAGAAAAAATTAAGTTTTGCTAAGTCCTGTTTTTTAATAACTTCGACATAAAGCATAGATATATGTGAAAAATTAGTAAAATTAAATTTCAATAAATAATAATTTCAACAGTGCAATTTAATTGAACAGTAAGAACTTAAAAGGTTAAAATCAAAATTTTGGATCTGTCTCCTTTTCACATGGACATCTAATTGAATGCTGATTTGGGTTGTTGCAGTTGGATAGGTTCATTCCGAATCGATCAGCGATGGATATGGACTATGCACATTACATGTTGACAGAGGCAAAGAAAGGTAAGGAAAATCCAGCTGTTAACTCTCCCTCCAGAGAGGCATATAGGAAGCAGCTTGCAGAAACATTCAACATGAACAGAACTCGTATACTGGCATTCAAGAACAAGCCACCCACTCCTGTTGAGGCCTTTCCCAGTGAATTCTCATCATCTGTTCAACAGGCCAAACCTGCTAAACCCCGTCGACACATTCCTCAGGTTGGTGTACTTTCATGGTCTAGTAATGTTTGTACTATCACATTTCATGAATCATCATGCCAATTGTGTTTTACAAGATTTTAGGATTATATGTGACGGAGGTTTCATTGGTTTATTTNTTTATTCTGCAGACTTCTGAAAGGACACTAGATGCTCCGGATCTAGTGGATGACTACTATTTGAATTTATTAGATTGGGGCAGCAGCAATGTTCTTTCTATTGCTCTAGGCAGCACTGTATATCTGTGGGATGCATCTGATGGTGCCACTTCAGAGCTGGCCACTGTTGATGAAGACAATGGTCCTGTTACAAGTGTAAAATGGGCTCCTGATGGTAGACATATTGCTGTTGGTCTGAACAATTCTGATGTTCAGCTCTGGGATACAACTGCAAATCGACTGGTTTGTTTCTTGAATATTTTCTCTTCTTATATTGCTGAATTTAAGTGATTCGTATGCTAATTAATATATGTTTTTATACATTGGTGCAGCTGAGAACTTTGAGAGGTGGTCACCGATCCCGAGTTGGCGCTCTAGATTGGAACAATCACATTTTGACAACAGGGGGAATGGACGGTCAGATCATAAACAACGATGTGAGAGTGAGATCCCCAGTTGTTGACACTTACCAAGGACATCATCAAGAAGTTTGTGGTTTAAAATGGTCAGCCTCTGGACAACAATTAGCAAGCGGTGGAAATGATAATCTTCTCCATATATGGGACAGATCAATGGCTTCTTCCAACTCTACAACACAGTGGCTTCACAGGCTTGAAGATCACACAGCTGCTGTTAAGGCCCTTGCTTGGTGTCCTTTCCAGGGTAATTTATTAGCCTCTGGTGGTGGTGGAGGTGACCGGTCCATTAAGTTCTGGAACACTCATACTGGTGCTTGTGTGAACTCTATTGATACGGGATCTCAGGTTTGTGCCCTGCTATGGAACAAGAATGAACGCGAGCTCCTAAGTTCTCATGGTTTCACTAAGAATCAGCTCACTCTTTGGAAATATCCTTCCATGGTAAAGGTAGCCGAGCTTACTGGTCATACATCCAGAGTACTTTTCATGGCACAAAGTCCAGATGGTTGCACAGTGGCATCTGCAGCTGGGGATGAAACTCTTAGATTCTGGAATGTATTTGGAACTCCTGAAGTTGCAAAGCCTGCACCAAAAGCAAACCCTGAGCCATTTGCTCACTTGAACCGTATTCGATGAATTTATTGTGAGGAGTGACGGAATTCTATCGAGTGTCATGCACCAATGCTGAACGTATATAAAAGAGAATACTAACAGTATTTGCTCCTGAGCCAACAACTTCTGTATATGTAAAAGAGATACTTCAGTTTATATTCATTTATTTTTTGGTTGGGTTCGTGTAAAATAGATAAGTGATTTTGTTTGCTCAAGTTGCTGCGAGAATTTTTCTTGGTCACCTATAGTGACAAAAAAAACCACGTGTAAGATAAAAGCAAAGATTTTTTAACATAAAACCATTGTATGATTGTGAAACTACTTCCTGAATAAGATGAAATTACAATTCTTACTCCCAACTCTGTGTTTATTTCCAAATGACAATTATTTGGTTAAGACAAATTTATTTTGAGTAGTTTCCTACCAAGCCTCCTTGCCCCTACTATCAATCTCTTTTATAAACTTCTCCACCCTCTTGGGCCAAGAAAGTGCTACATCTGGGGTTTAAAAAAAACTTTGGCATACCCAAGAGTCTTGGCTATGCCAAAGTTTTTTTTAAACCCCAGATGTAGCACTTTCAAAGAAATTTGGAGTTTCAACTGTGCTCGAGTATACCTGCTTATGCGCTAATGATCACCCCAATGATCGTCAAGGTGAGATATGAGAATAATATTTATATTTATTAGTTTTAAGACAACTGAGTATTTAGAAAAACAATTCAATCAAAATGTATTTTACGACATATCAATTGAAACTCAAATTTCATGGAAAACTTTAATTTCAAATTAAATTTTGTAAATTGGTTTTTGCTTAAGATATGGGTAGTCAAACATGCCTGCCCAATATAGACTCTGTGTTGGAAAAATTCACACACACACATAGTTCAATTAGATTAATGTGACAGAAAGGAGTTGTGTCTTTATTGTGATTAGATAAAATTTCCGTTAAATATTTTACACAATTCAATAGATTTTCAGTGTGAATTTTGCGAAAATTTTCACCCTAACATTGAAAGAGAAATTTAAGGAAACGAGGATGTTATAGCGCAAGTACACAAAGGGACAGGACTTGACAAAAGTAAAAAAAAGAAGCTCATATAGCAATAGCTCATAAACATTTGAAAACAGTGCAGTGGTCTGTAGTCTAAGATAAGACTACACATACAAATACACATATGTTACAGATTCAAAGAATATAAAGCAAACAAACAAATATAGGTTGCTGCTACCCTCAGAGCATTCACTTAGGTCTGTAAATTAACAAAGTTGAAACTATTATGAAAGTTAAACGTAGGCTGGCTTGTCAAGATCCTCAAGAGGGCGGAAGAAAGCCTTCTGTTCCAATACAGAATCTACACTAGCACTGGCAGGCATGATTTTGAAACCACTGTGATCAGTTACTGGCCCAAACACACCAGTTTGAGGGTGAGGAGCCCAGTATTTGTCGTTGATCACTTCATCTGGCACCACAAAGTAAGGTCGCACGTATTCCTCTGGATTCTTGTCGTACACTGATGCGTGCACTGCCCTCCTGCACAACACAATACTAACTATGTAAGCTGACATAATATATAAGCTTTTCCGCCACAAGTGATCGATTATAGTCTCAAGAAGCTAGCTGCTACTAATATTATTGAAATAAACCAAAAAAGAGGCGGAAAAACAAAATTCCAAAAAATAGCAAAAGAGATTTATTATGCTACAAAAGTCTTAGCTCATATCAATAAATCTGATTAACAAAAGATTTGTGAATACATATAACACCTGTCTGTAGAGTATAGACATAAAAAAAAAAAACTGACCTGCCAGAGAGGGTAGGTGAATTTCGAGCACTTGCGTAGCTGAATTGGTTCAGAAATCGCTTCCCCAAGCTCAAGAATCCCCTCTTCTGTAAAGTGGTGGCCATATAATTAATAATCGTATTAAGAATCTGTCTTTCAATTTAATGAAGAAATGAGAAAGAATTAAGAAGATGAAAGGCCTAATTAATGTGATGATGAGACTCTTTGCCTCAATTTCATTCACTATTTATAGTGGAAAAAATCCAGACTTCAGACTGGACTTTCCAATTGTATTTCCCTGGGTCCGCAACTACCCAGTTGGATCAAGTACCAGTTCCGTTCCTCATTTCACCGTTTAGAATATCATTTCCTTCCTTAACTCCTTTTTATTGATTGCAATATTGGACCTATAATTAGGGGCGGAGCTAGTGTACTGATTGCGAGTTCGGCGAGCCCAGTAATTTTGGTTCAAACCCTTTATTTATCTTGAACATTTCATTGATTATTTACAATTTTATAATTCAGAACTCAAAAACTTAAAATGCTTAGAATTCTGAACCCATAAACTTAAAATCCTACCTCCGCTTCTGCATCCCTGTCAACGTACCAAAAGATGGATTAGCAAAAATCTTGATTATTAACTTAAAGTCGTCCTTCTGTTATTTTATATTTGGTCAAGATGAGGTAGACCAGAAAAAAAAAAAATAGAAAAAAAGGAGGAAAAATCACAAAGCGGATGTTAGTATTAAATTGACTGATTGGGTTAATAATGAGCAAGTTAAAGTGTATTGAACCGAATGAATTATTAACTTATGAGAATAGTGACACTTTTATATTTTAATTATGTTTTACACTCTCGTCTCTTCTTTGGCATGCCGAGTGCTAGTGCAGGGTGCTGTAAAACTTGTCACGAATTTCCATTTAAGATGCAGTTTTATCTTAATTGCCCTCTTTCGCAAAAATTGGAATGAAAGAAAATTTAAAACAAATTAATAGCTCTACATTTAACGATTCTTTCAAGTTAATCTCGCACTTGTTACTTTTATCTGCGCTATAACAATTAGTCCCAAATTAGAACTCTTGAGAAAGCCACCGGATTAGAGTCAAATTAAGTGAGCATACATGTTTATTAGGTTAAACTCTAAATGCGACATGCATGGGTCAAACCACTACCAGTCAACCACAAGCGGAAAAGTAAAGATATGATAATTGAAGTATAATGGCAAAATTAAAAGGTATGATAACTTTACAAAATCAAAAGGTAAGTAATTTTATAAAAGATTGTTGCAAGGGCCTCACCACTTCCTCAACCGGATTTTTTTTAATATAAAAACTATAAAGATACTTTTCGCGATAGATCAATAATCACCTAGTGAATCAGAAACTGATTTTGTTAAACATACACACATATTAGAATTATTACTTCGTCAATGGCTTTCACGTGTCTTTGCAATCAATGGCTAACCCAGAATTTTGCGCAGACAAATTTAATAAAAAATAATGTTAACCGACAATAACAATGGTATCGGCAACGCCAAGTGAGATTTGTTTTGAGGCTCTTTTTCTGGTCTTAAATTCATAATGCTACTGCAAAATGAAGAATTTTAAAAAGTTCTGGTCGACATTCCTCTATATTTTATTTTTTCAAAGAATGTTGGGCAAAAATTTTAAAACACTTAACAAAGAACTTTACACAGGAACATCTTTGGTCAAGCGGATTCAACAAAGCTTATATTCACAATTTACGGAATTTAATCTATATAAAAGTTTTAGCGGAAAATATTCATTTGAACCCTCTTGATCCTACTTTGGTTCGTCTCTGTTTGCTATAGAGGAAAAAATGAGAAGGGTAAAAAAGACAAAAACTAATTGAATTTCCAACCGACTTACATTTCAGTCTACATTGTTAAGCTCTAAAAAATAAAAAGGTATGATAACTTTACAAAATCAGAAGGTAAGTAATTTTATAAAAGATTGTTGCAAGCTAGGGCCTCACCACTTCCTCAAATGGAAATTAAATCTATATGATAGAATTATTACTTCACCAGTCTTTGCAATCACTGACGAACTCAGAATTTTATACAAGTGGGTTTAATAAAAATAATGTTAACCGACAATAAGAATGGTATTAGCAACGCAGCAAGTGAGATTATTTTTGAGGCTCTTCTTCGGGTCTTAAACTCATAATGCTACTACAAAATGAACAAATTTAAATATTTGTGGTCGACATTCCTCTATATTTTATTTTTCAAAGAAAGTTGGGCAAAAAATTTAAAACACTTAACAAAGAACTGTACACAGGAACATCTTTGGTCAAGCGGATTCAATATAGGCTTATATTTCACAATTTACAGAATTTAATCTATATAAAATCTCAAAAATTTTCAGCGAAGCAGATTCATTTGAACCCTATTGATCCTACTTCGGTTCGTGTTTGTTTGCGATAGAGGAAAAACGAGAAGGGTAAAAAAGACAGAAACTAATTGAATTTCCAACCGACTTACATTTCAGTCTACATTGTTAAGCTCTAAAAAAATAAGTAAAATATATCTGAAGTCTTGTTTAGGAGCCGGTCCTGAGGTAGCCAAGTTTGAAAATGTTTTGGACTATTTTGTATGATCAAATATTAATGCACCCAGCTAGTCAACTTGAATTGCTACAATATCGTCGGGGCAGATTTATAAGGGAGATTATGAGGCACATAAACCAATGTATTTTTGCAAAATTAGATATTTTATGTACATATTTTTTTAAATTGTTACATATATATTGACACCCATACTTCAAGAATAAGCTTAATGGTGTACTTGGTTGAATGTTGAATTATTTACTAAGAGAAATATGAGATCAATTCTCACTTAATATATTTTTTTCCTTTTTTTAGTAGCGCATTCATGTACTAAAAACTCTAGATGTGCAACTGAATATCGTAGCAGCCAAAAAAAAATTGTTGGCGGGCTGAAACCTGTTTCATCTAGTAAACTAGTTTTGAGTAGTAAAAATTTGAATTGTTGGAGAGAGCATCTTCGAAGATGGAATATACGTTTCGGAATGAAAAATGCTAGTAAGTTACAACTTTTATTCATATAATAATTCGAATTTACAAAAGATAAAGAACATATGAAAAGTTATTATTCTATCAACCGTGTGTTGATCACTTATAACAACTAAACATGTGGTGATCGCTTATAATATCCATTCATTAGCTATTGCAGTATCTATTCTAATACTTTGTATTTACCCTTCAAATGGATAACAATTAAATTTGTACGCGATTTTAAAGATATATGGATTGATTCGATACAAATAACCACAAATATTAGATAAATGAGTTACAGACAAAATGAATAATCAAACCAAATGTAATGTTACGGCCCAACTCGAATTTAGGTTGAACAATGGTTTTGCCCTCGATCGGATCCTTAGTTCGAAGCCAATTGTGAATGAAGAACAAACAGTGAAATGAGAACATTACAATAGCTGGAAAGCGGAAAAATAAATTTGTATTGCCTTGGTTTTTGTGTTACAATGTGTGTTATCAAAGAAAAGCTCCCCCTTATATAATAGGAGAGTTTCATCCCTAGTACAAATCTAAAAATGATAAAAATCTCCCTTTCTCATTAATTACTGATCCGTAACCGCCATCGAGCGAGATCCGTGCCGTTATATCTGGTTGGTGGCGAAAATCACGGCCCTCTATCTGTCGTATATAACCGTTCCTGTGCTTTCCGAAGTCTTAGAACTTATTCCAAGTCCAGGGTGCATCATTTTATCAAGTCCGATAGCGAGCACTTCGTTCACTACAAAGAGTTCCCAACTTCAATTTCGATCTCGCGAGTGCATGTTCTCACTTCGTTTCATTCACCGGAAAATCGGGGTGTGCATTATCCCCGATTTTGCCCGTATACAGATAGTCCCCTCATTTTTCGGAGAGTAGGTTTGCCGAACGATGGGAAACAATAGATGAACTCCGATTCCTTCCTTCGTACGTTACAACCGAGATGATAGATAAGCTGAAACGTCCCGTCAGTCGTGCTGTTCTGACTTTGGACACGTGTTAGTCGCCGGCTGACTGCGTTCGAATGTGAAGCGTCGCACATTGGCTGTTTTTCCCTATAAAAGCTTCGAATTTTTGCATTTCTTTCACTTTATGATCCTATCTTTTACCTTTGAATTCTCCAACGACTTTTAACTTTTTCAAATCTCTAAACCCTCCTTCTTGAACCTTCATATCTTCATCTCTGACCTTCAAACCTTCATATTTTTTCTTGGATATCCAACCCAGATCTTCATATCTTCATCCCTGACCTTCAAACCTTCATACTTTTTCATCAAATCTTCACATTTTTCCTTCGAATCTTTATATTCCCTTCAAATATTCATATTTTTCCCAGATCACAATGGCTGAAACTTCCAAGTCTGTACCGCAACAAGCGGCTCCCTCATCTTCCTATCCGGCCAAGGGCATCGAGGTGGCTCACGAGCCTCCCATGAAAAGCTTCATACCCAGGGGTTGTTCGATCGGGGATGATTTCAAAGTCGTGAAGGACTCTAGCCAACAAGACCGAGGCGAGGGAGCATGAAGATACATATGCTCCGTCACTAAAGATACCCTTCCCCTAGCCCGAGAGGACTGTAAATGGGAAGTTAAATATGTGGTCGTTCCCGGGCCTAACGATGATATTACTACCTATGTGGAGGGGTATTTAAGTGTTTACACTTGCCCCTTCACGTTAGGCCCATTAGATCCCATAGTCCAAGATTTTTGTAAGAGGTACAAGGTATGCCTCGAGCAAATTCACCCATCATTTTGGAGGATCGTGATCCTCCTACGTCATTTTGTGAATAATACTGACAACCCACAATTTATCCTCGACCATCTACTCTGCCTGTATAGCCCCCGAATTTTCTAAGGGGGGCTGGTCAAGCTTGTCCGTCAAGTAAGTAAGGCCCCTTTCTCGAGCATTGACTAGGATCGAGATCGAGGCTGGCAGGGGAGGTTTGCTCGGGTGAAAACCAAAGACCTGATCACTCCCGAGTTTCTGCCGTTCCTCGAGAGGAAGAACACATCTCGTAAGCATGGTCTTCCTTAAGTATTATCTTATTTTTATTCCTTCCCTCATTGCCTAAATTTACAGCCGTGCAGTTGTTGCCCAAGTTCCTGATGCAATCCCTCGGTTCAAGGAGTGGATCGAAAGGATTTGTAAGCAGATATTGTACTCCGAGCGCGCATGGCGCAAACTTTCGAAGGGAAAATGGGAGGCCCATTCTAATGGTAAGGTTCTTCCC